CCACTTGGTCTGGTATCAGTGTAGCTTCTTCAGCCCTCGTATGCTCATTGTTTGGATGATATACCACCTTGTATACCATCTGTGACTGCTGACTTACCTTTGCATTTAAGTATGTCTTCATAGTTTAAGTCTGACATATTGCTGGGCTGTGTTTTTTCCTTCCACCCCTTCTGATAATCTCTCTTAATCCATGACTGTGTAACCAGCCTTTACTGTAATTACTGATGTGGTTGGGTTTAGATGGGCTCTTTTTGTTTTCTGTGTTTCCTTTTTTCTTTGGATTATTTAATTCTAATTTTAATTTACCTGTTGAGAATTTAGTTACTTTTTAGTGGTTGCTGTGGGAATTACAGTATATATCCTCGATCTTCACAGTCTCCTTAGGGTCATTTGGCATCTCTTCCCAGAGGTCAGGCCTCTCCACAGTAAGGCCTCCCCTCGCCATGGACTCCTGCTTCCCAGGCAGGACTCATCCCAGGAGGACTGATGAGGTTGAGCCCTTGTTTGCTCTCTGGACAAGCAGCACTTACCACACTCGCCATTTGCTTATGTGGGTTCTCTAGTTCTTAGCACAGTGCTGTGTTTGTAATTACTTGTTGACTGGAGGACAGGGAGCCCAGATTGTGGTTTGAAAAAAAACGCAAAAAATTCCATGATCGCCCTCCCAGGGTTGGAAATGGCATGGAAAAGATAAGGGTGTGAACAGCACATAATAGTCAAGTAGAAAACAGCCATAGCAGTGGCTGCCATTTACAGGGCACTTAGTAATGGGCCAGGCGCCATGCTGAGCTCTGTACATTTCATCTTCCGTAACCTCAGCACTGTGAGCTATTCTTGTCGCCTTCTCAACAGGGCAGCTGAGGGACAGGGGTCAGTTACTGTGGTCCCAGGCCTAGGTGTGAGCTCTGCACTCCATCTCAGATCCTGTGATTCCAGCACTGAGAAGAGAAGCCAGCCAGAATGCTGACCTGGATTGCTGGGGGTGTTGACTAAGTAGATACTTAGCCCTAGGTCATTGTGTTTGGTTACATGCAAGGAAGGTCAGGGGTGGTGGTTAGGGTAGGTGCTTCTGTAGCTTCTTTGGAGGAAGAAAAGTAGAAACCCTGTGAGGCTTTTGGGTAAGGTAGTGCAGAAAACAGTGTTTCAGAAGATTCATCTAGGGCCAGAGGGCAGGACAGAGGAAGTCAGGTGAGTGAGGAGCAGTGGCCAAACCCACTGCTAAGGCCACAGTTAGAGGGCTAATGTAGTAGTTTAAGGCAAGGAATAAGTGTGAGACACACTTTGAGAGATGTGTAGATGGGATTGCTTAATGATGAAGTGTGGGGGTGAAAGTTAACCAGCCTGCCCAACGAGCATATAGAGGACTGTCATTGTTAACCCTGGTGGACATTTCTGTCCATTTCACTGAGTGGTCATTGAGTTGGCTACACATTAGGTGACTGAGAAAACTGGGAACTTCTGCAGGTGTTTTGTGCATCGGTCAGTGAAGGTATGTGTACCTGTGCAGGTGTTTTTGTGCCATTTGTTATCTGCCTTTGAGATGGTCATTGGAACTTAATGAAACTGAACTTTTTTTGTTTCTTGAGTGAGAAAGAGCTTAAGCAGTTTCTAAACTAGTATCAAAATGTTTTCACTTCCCCAATGAAATACCTTATTGAAATTAAGATTGCTTTGAAAGTGATCCAAAAAAATAACATCATTTTCTGAGCTGCAAGGTAAGTGCTTGAGATTTACAGATGCACTTGGAGTTTACCCAAAGTATCAGAGGTCTGATTTTTCTATCAGCACTGAAGATGAAAATGTAATGTGGATCCTGACTTCTACATTGACACGGGCTCTTTTCTAGGCTTCTGCTTCAGTGTCTGAGTCTCCCTAAAATTGCCATCAAGCTTGTATTTTAGTTTAAACCAATGGCCAGCGGTATGAGTCTGCCTTTTTCCACGGTCAGATTACTTTGGGACTGGATGTGTTATATGCCTGTTGATATTCCACACGTGATGTGGTGGAGTAGTGTTTCCTGGATCACAGGTGAACACTTCGACTCCCTGTTCTCAGCTCCAGTCTCTTGACTGAGAAGATAGTTTGTCCCACACATGTGTATGTGTGATACATATGTATATGTGTGAGACTAAAAACACTTTTTTTCCCTCCATGTACAATGAGAACATTTTCAACCTTTTTTTCTTCTTCCAATGATGTGATTGTTCTCTGGCTCTGAATGTGGCACTGAGGTACAAAGGGGTTTCATCATGACCCTTGCACACATGCACACAGTACCTCGATCATATTCACCCTACTCCTCCCTCTCCCTGGCTGAAAAGTTTCAAAGCTCTATGCAGAGTGCTTCGCCCATGCTGACACTGCCCCTCCAACCTTCTCCTTTCGCCCTCACCCTCCCGCTGGCACCTCCTTCCAAACAGGGCTGTTTACATTCCTGTTGCTCACCTTTAAAGACTAGATTCCATATTTGTCTTTCTCAGCCTGGCTTCTTTTGATTCACCTGATCGATGCATTTTCCTGCAAGTGACATAACTTCATTCTTTATGGAGGAATGTTAATGTTACTCCACTGGGCATTTTTAGTGGAAAGAGTTCGGCTTTACTGATGGAGAGCCAGAGCACAGACTTAGGAACAGATCCTGATGGGCCTTGTGTGTGTCCCCAGGTCTTTGGGGTCTTAGAAGTCTCACCTTTGCAGACAGGAAGAATGTCTATGAGCTAGGATGTATGGCAGGATGTTGAAGTCTCGTAAGGAAAGTCATTGTGAGAACTTTGGTTGTTTGTTACTCTTTCATTTTGAAAACTCCTGGAAGAGGGTCACGGCTTGTACAAGAAGAAGCTATTTGTGTGCCTTACAGATTCTGGCTTGGGGGCTGTGGAGGCACGCTGTTCCAGAATTGGGACTTTCTCCTTTCTACTCTTACCTAATTAGACTTGGCAAAGGCTTGCAGAGCAGGGTTGCCGGAGTTGGTTGTTGGGATTCACATAACACGTTGTCTTTAGTTCTGAGGATCTGAAGGATGCCCAGTGCCCTTCAGTACTCGTGTCCCCACCCACCTGCTAGACAATCGATCTATGGATGTCTCAGGTCAGAGAGAACCATTTTCTTTAGCAAAGGGTGTCAGTCCTTTGTCTGGACCACAGCAGTGACACGCTGGGATTTGAATCTTTTTCTTAACTCTGTTCACTCTTTTCAGAAACTTTAGGGAACAGACCATCAGGATGCAACTCTTGGTTGTGATGCACTTTTGTTTTACCTTCTTTTCTTTAGTTTCTGTAGGAAACTGACCTGGGGAGGTTAGCAGTCCAACAAAATGCAGTTAACTGAGCCAGAGTCCATTCAGAATAAAAAGAGAAGCAGCACTTGGTAGAAGTGGCAGATCTCCAGAGCCTCACAGTTCCCTCCTGATGAAGCTGAACACAGTAAAATCACACACCATTACTTAGGGTTCCTGAGTAATCAAAAATGAATGTCTACTCCCCTTGCCTCCGTTTTACGCTATGAGGCTAAGCAAACTTCCTTACCATGTTTGCTTTAAGTTGATGGAAATCTTCCTGACTTAAAACATGCATTATGTAGTTTTGCCCTAGATTTTCAAATAACTGATTTGAGAGTGCTGGAGCAGACCAAGGCGCCTTCTGATACATGCGCGAGGTTCATCTTCTGTGGGGATCACGATTTCAGTGAGCTCTGCCTGGAGGAGACTGGACTGCTGTAGAGCCACATGTCCTGTAGCGTGGTCTTTTGAAGGCCCGCCAAAACAGTTATTAGTAAGAGCGCACATCATTAAGTGAAGTTGCATGGCTGGTCTCCAGCAGACCTCATTTCTTGGCTAAGGTGACCTGTGGACACTTTGGTCAGGGCTTAAATGTCACAAACTATTTTGTTCCCAAGCTTCCTCACTAATCGTGAAGTCACGAAGACCATTTCTTGGCTTCTGATGCTTCCATTGAGGCAACTTCATTTCCTTCAGCTCTTCCAAATTCTTTCCAGTCTGTGTTTTTGTATTTTGGCGATCCTGATTTAGTCCTATAACTCAGCAGTAAGCTGGGCAGGGCAAGGTGGTCTTTATTTTCTTTCTTTTTTTTTTTAAAAGGTTGGGCTATTTTTGATGTGGTGTGACCTTGGAGGCGTTTTCCTATGTCTGCCCAGTATGAAGACGGAGAGTAGGAGTTGTAGCTCTGTATTTTTAGCAACGTTTTCATGTGGCATTAGTTCTTTGGTGGCACAGATATTTCTCTTTCCAGTTTAGGATTCAGAGGGTGGCAGGTATTTCAGTGCTGGCTTTGCCCAGTTGCTGCGTGAGCTTCGTGAGCCTCACTTTTCTTGTCTGTGAAATGGGTGTGGCCTCAGAGTTGGTGAGCCAAAATGTATGCAGAACTCAGTGTGTCACCAAGCTCCAAGCGTCTCTCCAGCTGTAGGTTGTGGTATGTGTGGCTAGAATCATAGTTTGCTCCTGGGAACCACTTATCACTTCACTATGGGGTCTTGCGTGAACAGCGTTCTCGAACATAAAATAGGGGCCACCAAGAGGGCTGAGTCCAAACGTGACTCTTCTGGAACAATTCCAGTCCAAAACCTCTGACTTCATTTCTGCTTGTGGTGGCAGTGGGGGAGTGGTATTCATTTTTTTCTTTTCCTAATTTATAAGTTAAAAGTTCCAAACTTAGGGAACAGTTAAAAGACTGGGAAAATGAATACCACGTACCCTCCCACCAGAACCAGTGTTGTTGCTCACAGGTGTTTCTCCCTCTCTCCCCTCCATCTCTCCCTCCCTCCCTCCCTCTCTCCCTCCCTCCCTCTCTCCCTCCCTCCTGGTCTCCCTCTCTCCCCATACACTTCTGTGCTGGTTTCTAACCTCGCTCCTGCCTTCTTTGGTTGCTGTCCTTCTGCCAGTTGGCTCCTGTGGTGCTGTGAACTCTGCTGTGACTTGGGCTGCAGCATCTGGGTTCCATGGAACCTTTTCCAGCTCTGCTTAACCAGTACCTTGTCTTGAACAGGACGAGCTCACCGCTGTGAATGTGAAGCAAGGCTTCAACAACCAGCCCGCCTTCACCGGAGATGAGCATGGATCAGCCAGAAACATCGTCATTAACCCGTCCAAGGTAATGCCACCGACCCGTGCTTCCTGTCATGCTGGCGATCCTCCACAGAGTCCCTGTCCTTGACCTGGTGGTGGTCAAGCCACACTGTGAGCTCGGACCTTTCTCCTGGGTACAGTCCTGAGTAAGGTCCAGCCAGGGCGGCCTTGTACCAGCTGTCACGTCCATCCCCACCTTGCCTCGTGTTGTAAGGCTTTCGTGACTGCCATTGTGGAGAGTCTAGGTGGGCTGTACATTCTAGTCCTGCCTCCCAGATCCCTGTTTTCTCATGACAGAGTTGGGCTGAGCGTTTGTGTCAGGCAGTGAGCAATCCTGGTCTGCCCTGTGACTGGCTGTGTTCAGACACGTGCGTACCACATCTGCATCTGCCTCCATTATGAAGTGTGATTTCTACCTCCCAGACATCTCCAGACGGTCACCCTTTCTTAATCATTCTTGTTATGGGGATGGAACCCAGGGCTTCATGCGTGCTGTGCACATGTCCTACTCTGCCCGCCCCCTTACACACACAAGTGAGTCTGTCCTACCCCCAGACATGCCTGTGTCTGTCCTGCCCCCAGACGCGCCTGTGTCCTACCTCTGGATGCCTGTGTCCTGCCCCCCAGCCCCTACACAACAGTTTGTCGAGACCATGTGCGTATCATTTTCTCCAGTAAAATTTCACCCAGTGATCTTAGCCTTCTGACGCTTGTTGAATGACTAAATTTTTGTCCAAGCTGGCCTGGAACTGAGATCTTCCTGATTTCAGCTTCCTGTCCAGCTTGGAATGGCAGGCACACACCACTGCCCCAACTATTGGTTGAGATAGGGTCTCACTAACTTCTTGTCCACACTGGCCTTGGACCATGATTCTCCCAATTTCCACCTCCCGAGTAGCTAAGATTACAGGTGTGAGTCAATCATGCCTGGCTATGGGTTCCTTTTTAAAAATAAGTCAAATGTGCTGTGCTCTGTTACCTTTACTTTCCCATTGGATGCTCAAGTCATCCCATGGTGGGGTAGTGGGATCTTTAACCTACCCCTGGTGAAGTACCCCTGCCATTCTTCGAGCACCTCGACACCTGGCATGGCACACAGCCCAGGCTCCTCGTTTTTACTCTGTGCCAGCCCTGTGTGCGAGGCACGCTTGGTGCAGTTGCAGGCCCTTTCGGTGGCCAGAGTTGGCAAACATGCAGCTACTTCTCTCTCTCTACCCTGACCTACCTACCTTCTCTGTCTATTGCTACCACTCCTACTCAGTACCACAGGATGTCTCTTTGTCTTTTCCTTCTCCTAAAGTGAGGTGTTTGTTTGCTTTATTTTACAGCATACATAAAAAATTCCAGAATAAACTATATCAGTCCCAGTTCAACAAAAAAGTCAGTATATGAAATTTACATTTTTCTGAATTACTTTGTCTTTAGACTACTAGTTTTCATTAAAAATATATAGTCAGAATGTTGCATTATTGAATTAAATGCTTTTTCTGTGTGGCTATGTTATTAGATATATAAATAAAATAGAATTTTTAAGGGTTTATTTTAAAATCCTTTTTGAGTTAGTCTTGTTTGGATAGTAAAATACTTTCACTGTTGCAAAGTTGAAAACATCATATGGACAAAAAACACATAAAGGTAAGTTTTTGTACTTTCTTCCCCTTTCCCAGGGATGTACATACTGAAGACTCGTGTATCCTTAAGATCTCTGTTGTGTGCACCTGTGCACAAACATCTATATAACTGAAGGTTGAAGAACTGTCACCCGAAATGCTATTTAAAAGATGTGAAAGGAAACAGAAGTGCTTTCTGCACATAGCACCATTGACCAAACACTTGTGTAGGTTTGTCTTTTTCCAATCATTGTGAACTTTGTTCTAACTGCAGTTAGGTGTATGCATTTCTTTTTAAATTGTAAAACACATGCCACCACTGTTTAGCCGTTGCAAGTTGTAGTTCTTGGGCCCTCAGTACATCCACTTGCTGTACAGCACTTACCACCCTCTTCTCCCTTAACTGATCTGTCTAGTCTTTAAACATGAGCCATTATTTTAGGCCCTTTTCCTCTTGGCTGGTGGATTCACAATAACGCTTCATCATTGATGTGCTGTAATTCACTGAAATCTCTAAACTGTAGCACCTAGCTTATTGCCAGTTTCTTAGGGTTACTTATGAAGAGGCTGTAGTCATACTTGAACATACAGCTTTTGTCTTTAGGAAGATTCCCAGAGGCATATTACCTGTCAACAGGGTGTATTCCCCTGCTTGGGCTGAGAAACAGAACGCCTCAGACTGGGCAGTGTAGGTCAGAGAAACTTATTCTCGTACCCTGATGGCGGAAGTCTGAGGTCAAGGTGTCTCCAAGTCCAGCACCTCTCTGTCTTCACATGGTCTTCCTGTTGTGCATCATGTCTCCTCCTCGGTGTGTCTTCCTCCTCTTAGGAGGAGGTGGTCATGTATATTAGGGACTCACCCCCGTGACCACATTAACCTTCCTTTTCTCTTTAGAAGCTGGTCGTCAAATAGTTATACTGGTGTTAGGGCTGCACTGTATGCATTTGAGAATTACTCTATTTAGTTCATCTCAGAGAATATGAATATTCTGTCCTTCGTATGAACTCCTAAATTGTTCTTGGTTCTCAGAGTCAAGTTTTATGTCAGATTAAATAACTGAATAAATGAAAGTAGCATCACTGACAAGTTCTGCTTTTTCTCAAAGACTCGAATCTTCTGAGGGGAATTGGACGCCACACACGTGAAACAGAAATGATAGTGTAACTCTCGAGCCTTTCCCATGTTCTTACAGATAAATTATGTTCCAGATAGCTTTAGGTGAATGAAAACAAATGTTTAATTTAACCTTATACCTTGTTTGAAATGATATAAAATGGTGCCTGTGTGTGGTGGTGCACTCCTGCCTCACAGAGGCAGCTCAGGCAAAGTTAGTGAGACCCTATCTCAAAAACAAACAAGCAAACAAAAAGGGCTGGGGGAGGTAGCTTAAGTGGGGCTCAGGGTTCAATTCTTAGACCTGCCAAACAAACAAAGCCAGTATAAACCTTTTAGAGACAACATGGCAGTGCTATTAGAACCTCAGAATTGTACCATCCCGATTCTAAAAATTTACCTTAAAGCTGTCTTTGCACATGTCTGATAAAACACATGTGAATGGCTGTTCACTTTGACATTATTCATAATAGCAAAGGTTTGGAACAGGTGCTCCAAATGTCTTCTGACAGTGCCTTGATGAAATGAAGTTACGTCTGCACAGTGCCACCATGTATCTGCTTCCACACTAGAAGACTTGAGTGGAGTGTGCAGCCAGAGCTGTTCACACAAGAAGGGGAAATGATGCATCCGTTTGCTCATGTCTGTCACAGAAACACTGGAAGGGCACACGAGGGGCTAACAAAATGAGTACTTGGAGGTAGCAACTGGGGTTGGGGTGAGGTTCTTTTTTATATTTCTTTTCTCTTTGTGATACTGAGGTTTGAACTCAGGGCCTCACGCTTGCTAGGCAGGCGCTCTACCACTTGAAGACTCTCTCTGCTAGCCCTTTTTGTGTGGGTTATTTTTGAGGTGGGGTCTTGCATTGTGCTCCAGCTGGCCTGGACCACCGTCCTCCTGTTTGTGCTTGCTGGAGTAGCTGGGGATGGCAGGGTGCCTCCCGCATCTCGGGAGGATGGGGCCTGGTGAACTTTCCGCCAGGGCTGGCCTTAAACTTTAGTCCTCCTGATCTCTGCCTCCCCAGTAGCTAGGATTATAGGCATGAGCCATTGTACCTGGCCTCTTGTTAATGTATTTCCTGATTTCTGAATAGTGCATATATATATTATTGCTACAACATGTTGCAACACATATGCAATAAAATTACATGTTATAGAGCTGGGCACGGTGATGCACACCTGTAATCCCAGCACACAGGAGGTAGAGGCAGGAGGAACTCGAGTCCAAGTCCAGCCTGGGCTACAAAAAAATAACACCTGTCTCAAAGAACAAATTAAATGTTACAATCATGTTTTGATTTTTTTGAAGCCCTAATGTGTATTTCTGCGCTCTTGCTTACTTGAGAATTTTGACTTTGTTTACTGCACACATTTTTTTTAAACCAGGAATTAAAACCTAGGTGGTTTCTATGTTCCACGGCTGTCACTAAGAAGAGAGTGACTGCTCAGATTACTTTCTCCATCTTTATTCCTCTGTTTATTATGATTAAAGTGCTTATACATAATTGCACATGAGACCTTTTAGGTATGAGAAGGCCTGTAGTGGTAGGTGTTTAGAGCCCTTGGTGCAAAGACCAATTATCAATTGAGAAATTTTAAACAATTTGCTGCTAGTGGCTTGTTTGTAAACTACAGTTTTGCATTTAATTTATTCCCTGGAAGTCCTGCAAACATTTTCTTACAACAGAAAAACTAAAGTTGTTCATTAAAGAAGAGTGTCTCAGATTTTTCCTAGGTTAGTTTTTGTCCCCATCTTGCATCAGTACCCTATGTGTCATATGTGTCATGCATCAGGGACAAGAATCAGGGAATGTCGATTCACAAGAAAAACGTCCTGCCAACTTTTGTCCTGGTAGACGAACTTGGCAATGGCTGACAACTGCGGACTCCGTGGTTTCTGCCTCATGACTACTAATGACTCTTCTTTTGCTGCACCAGGGTAGAGATTTTTCTTACTCCTAGTTGCCACTGCTTGATAAACTTATGGGAGGATTTGTTAGAAGTTATCTGTGTCATTGTTAAAAATTTCTCAGGGTAAAATGTGATGCAAGGGCTCTCGAAAATTCTAGCGGGTTTTTGCAGATGTCCTAAAGTTTATCAAACCCTTCCTTCTCTGGTATGCCTTCTCCTGTCCTTTTCTCCACCCCTTGTTCATCCTATACTTTGAATAACATGGAAATGAAATGACAGTTTACTGAAGCTCTCTTGGCCACTTTGCTCCATTCAGGCCAGGTAACATGAGCTTTCTTTTCTTCCTCTTTAAACACCTGTACTCATGAAGGTGCCAGCCCAGTCAAACTAGAGCCTAGTTTAATTGTACCTTTTGAAATTTTCCATTAAAATAAGTTTCTCTAGACACTCTTTAAAAAAGCATCAAGTGTAAACACAATTTCCTTTCCAGAAATACATGCTATTAAGATGAAACAAGAAAAAGAACAATTACTGTGATTTACTGGGCTTCCCTTCCCATGTGCAGCACCTCGGTGTGCAGTATGAGAAAGGAGAAAGCACAGCTGCAGATCAGAGCAGAGATGTAATTAATTTCATGTTTCCAGAGGTTTCTAAGGCTCTTCTTTTTTCCTTGGCTACTTGTCAATAGCAGAACAAAGCTGGGTGTGAGTTTTTAGATCGCAATAGTATGTGGAAATCACATCTCCTGGCTTCAAGGACTTAAATTCCCTTTGTAATTTCTGGTGGGCCTTGGGAGGCTTTTCAGTGAAAACAGGAAAGCCAGAACACACAGTGCTTACACTTGCTGATGGTCTGTCTTGTCTCTTCTCACAGATCGGCGCTTACTTCAGCAGCATATTAGCTGAGAAACTAAAACTGAACACTTTCCAGGACACAGGAAAGAAGAAACCCCAAGTTAATGCAAAGGACAATTATTGGTTGGTCACTGCACGATCTCAGAGTGCCATCCACAGTTGGTTCTCTGACTTAGCAGGAAATAAACCACTTGCTGTTTTGGCGAAAAAGGTATCAAGCATTTATGTTGCTATAGTTGTGGTTATAAACGTGGAGCTGAGATGACATTCAAGTGTGCATGCACTTGTTTCCCCTGACTACCACACCGACCGGGGCCACCCCTACCCTGTGCCCTTCATTTTGATTGCGTGTGATGCTTAGGACACCCATGAACACAAATGGTCCACACAGCAAGCAGCTCATGTGGACTTTAGACACACTAGATTTTAAAACCAAGAAGAGGCTTCATTTTTTTTCCTATTACATTTTTAGTTTTCTTTGGCCAAGATGACCAAGACGTGGTTAAAAAGATCCATTGTTTTGAGGTTATTGCCTTGTCTTTAAAAATACCCGTCCAAATGCTGCAGGCTAAGTCTTCCAACCAAGAGAGATACAGACTTTGGTTTTGTCTTGCTTGCTTTTGAAAAAGTGTTTGATCAAAACGGGTATGTTTCTTCATAGCTTCCAGCTTTTTTTGGGTTGGTGGTACAAGCTCTTTTACAATCTTTGCCTTTGATCATTTTCCTCTGGTACGAAGTAATTAGTATACAGGCTCAATAATCTTATAGTCCAAACAATACAAAATGTCCTTTGAAAATCTGGAAGAGAAGCTCTAAGTTTCCCTCTTAGTCTTTATCTCTGACTCTGACACACCTTTGAGATAATCCTGGGTCTTTTCTCATCTCCCTGCTGCCCCGTTCTGTCAGGGCACCCATCTTGGGGGTCTTAGTACTGAGTGCTCATTTGCACCTGTTCCAGGACCAGTTCGAAGAGTCTCCTTTGGATACTTCTTTGTTTTCTGAAGCAACTCTTTGAATACAGTGCCTGTACCTTCCCTTGGCTTTACTTTACTCAGTGTCATAACTTTGAATTGCCTTGGATCGATTTCAGCAGTTCAAGGCTACAGAAACCTTTCAAAGCAGGAGATGGGGCTTAACTGTCTCTTCTTGCAGTCAGTACTGCCATCTCCTTCAGCTGGCCCGAGTGGCACTTCTCCAGGGGTGGACATTCACCTTGGAGTCCCACTAAAGCCTGCAGAATGATTGTACCTGATGGCCATGTCAGTTGTAGGGAATCCTTCAGTATTTGATGGTTCATATTCCCCGTGCTGCCATCCTGGCACCTTTTTACATTTCCCTTTATTTCAAGCTTTGAGAGTACATGTTTTGATGTTTTCAGAATGGATATTGATGAGGGCCGTAAGCCTTTGCTTTAGGGGTGTAGGGGCTCTGTCGTGTAGGAGGGAGATGATTCATGGTGCAGTACATTAGCTGTCGTTCTTCTTTCTTTATTAGGAGCTGCCTCTGGCCAAGCCAGGTGTCCCTCAGGTAAGCCCTGACCTTCATTCTTTGCAAATGTGGATGCTTTCTTTATTAGACTACTGCCCGTGCTGTGTCTTAGGTATTTCAAGAGCCCTCCTTTCCCCTTCGCAGCATCTTCCCTTCTCCAGAGTGGATGAGTTTGCATTCTCCCCAGTGTTCTTTCTAGTACAAAGTTCAGACACTTCTCAAACTTAGGAGATGGCCTGAGGCAGAAAACCTTGACTTACCTGCCGTGACCCTGAGTCATCTCTGAGCTCTTCCGTAGTCTTTGGAATAGTTTCCCGAATGGGACGTGTTGTGTTTCTGACCTGGCTTTCTGTTCTTTTAAGGCTCCATGGCACTGCAACTGTTGAGCCACGGAAAGGCCTGTAGAGGACTGTTAATTCAGTCATGTGCCTGGCTGACCTGGAAGGGAGACTTTCTGCAGCCAGGGTGTTCATCTAGCTCCCGAGCAGCTCTCTCCTTCTCACTTGGTTACTTCAGGGGCCATTGTTCTCTGCTCTACCCCTGCTCAGCCAGCAGAGGATGTTGATGGTGACATGCTTCCAAGGGGACAAGTTCAGGAGGACATCCCTTTTATAGATGGCAAAAGCACATACCAGGTATCTTAATTGTCTTTTGGCCCTTGGATGCAGCTCTGGATTGACTTGGAAGCCAAGATTCTGCTGGACGAATCTACCCCTGTATGGAGATCATGGTGTCAATCTCATTTCCTTCCTGAGTTGGCCCAGACCATATCTTTGAGAAAACCACCCATACTTGCCTTCTTCCCTAATTGAATCACTTCCCTCCCCAGTGTTCCTCTGGGTTCTGAAGCCCTTGGCTCAAGTCACGCAGCTCTTGTAGGGTTCTGCTGCTGGAGCAGCTCAGCCAGCAAGCAGTTTGCTTTGTTCAGTTAGTGGAAGAGGCTAGGCCTCAGTGTTGCATGCTGCTTTGTCTAAATGTTTCACACATTCAGGTGTTTTTCCTTTTTTCCTCCTGACAGTTGCTAATTCAAAAAAATCCTCTAGCCATCTACGAGAGCCATTACTAGCAGTGCCTCTTTGGAGATGCAACTTTACCTGGACTTGCCTATGATTTCAGGCCTTGGTCTTGTACCCTTTCTGTGGCTGGACAGCCACAGTTCAAGCCACTCATGCCACACTAAATGATGCAGTGAGAGGCAGTTGCTCAGGTGTTGAGCTGAGTGTCTAACCCTCTACTTTCCTGTCCCGACTTACGATAGTCATAAATCCAGAGCCTTGAAGCTCAATTTCCAGGATATTTTCCTGTGTTCCACATAGAGGAAGCCATCCAGCCTTCAGCTCCCTCTCAGATGTTTGTGCAGGGTAGCTGCCTCCACCATTGGGGCTGTGTTCTTAAGTCAGCTAGAGATGGGAACTGTATGTGATGCAAAGTCTCCTCAGTTACCCGTAAAATACTGTGCCTGGGTACACTGCATCCCATTTTCTTTCAGCTTTGGAACAGCCTGCTGTTTCTTCGGTAAGACCAGGCAAAATAGTTAGCTCGTTTTTAGGGGGTCTTTCAAAAAGCACTTATCTTTTGATTCTAGTCTCAGACTTTGTTCCAAGTGTATGAGTAACCAAATTTTGTAATATACAAGGCAGAAAAATGCAGGGTATAAATTGGATTTGATGAACTAAAAGAAAAATGCTGTGCTGTGTGAATCAGCTGACTGGCAGCCTTGATTTTTCAACACAGTATCAGTGAGAGTTTAGGGAGACCAGATCAGGACTCTTGATGTTCAAGATCTCAAATCCATGGCCTGAAAATACTCTGTGTGATGTGGAGGAATTCCTGGAGCTGGCAACAGAATAATGTGTTAGGATTTGATACACACAGTTCCTTTGCTTTACCCTCATTCCCACCCTTGAGGTATGGGTAGAGTTGATATTACCAGAGTTCATAAACAAAGAGTCTGGGAGGGTTGGGATTGGCCCCACAGGTGAGGCTAGGAAAGAAGTACAGATGGGGTCACCTCTGGTGTGGGTGTCACTGGCCCCATCCTGCCCACCGCAGCTAATTCTTGTGGCCTGTGGTTTTTCTCTACTCTCATAAATTGAACAGATTGTATAGACGAACAGGCTAGTCCTAGGATGTTTATGAGGTTTTCTGGAAGAAAGAATTAACTCTTTCAAGACAATCAGCCATACATTGGGATACTAATTTGCTAAATAGAACATTTGTGGTCTGGAACAAATAATTAACTGCCTCCAGTGCCTACTTCCCTCTAGTGAATTAATTACCCAGCTATTTCGAGCTCAGTGTTTATTAGCCACGCTCACAGATCCATCATCTTGCCTCTATTTTAAATTTTGGGCTAAAGGCACTGTTCAAAGCTTTCTGGAAACTTTTACTCTCGTGAAGCATTGCAGTTAGACGTGGGTGTAGATTAAAGGTACTGGACAGAATTTCTCACTGATCTGTCCTTTCCAATTTTGAGGTAAACCCCTTGGAAAGCTGTCATGAAATAATTTTTCTTTACTCTGTTGGTAAGATGAGTAGCTTTCAGCATCCGAGAATTTGAAGATAATTTGTTTTATAAATAAGATAGCACAGCTGATGAAACTGTTTTGCCATTGTGCCATAGTTTTGATTCTTTTTTTTCTTAATGAAAGTTGGCTTAAAGTGTTCCTTTAAAAAAACCAAACTGTACTTTTTGAACATGTATACACTTTCTTATAGCACCAGGTAACTCTGAGCCTCTTTTTTTCTTCTCTCTCTGTAAGTTTGTCTAGCAATGATCAGTGTGTGAGTGTACAGTCATAAATATTGTTTGTTTCAGGTTCCCATTCTCAGTAAAAAAGAGGATGTCTTTGCATATTTAGCTAAATATTCAGTGCCAATGGTTCGAGCAGCGTGGCTGATCAAGATGACCTGTGCCTATTATTCTGCAATTTCTGAAGCTAAAATTAAGAAACGCCAGGCTACAGATCCCAACTTGGGTGAGTGAGACTGTGATGCGTTTTACATTTCACCATTGGTTTTGCAGGTTACTGCAGCCCAGCTTGCTGAGTCAGGAGAAAGCCCAGGAACAGCGAGGTCCCTGCGGGGTGGGTGGGGGAGCTGAGCTGGCCTTCACTCAGGCCACCAGCAAGTCCTGTCGATGTCACTGCCAAAGGACATCCTCCTCTTCAGTAGATGTTACACGCAGCCATCTGGGGAATGAGCTGAGGCCACGCTGCCATTCTGGGCCTCTCCGTGCTGTTGCAAAGGCCCGAGCCAAGATCCTTGCTTTTATTCCTGCTCCTCCCATGTTCGCTGTCTGCGTCGTGGACAATCCTGTTAGAAAATCCAGGCCAGCTCGTGTCAGCCTTCATGGCCAGCCATCCACCTGACCCATGCTTGTCTCCCCGGTGGGCTCTACTCAGGGGGCACTTCCTACACAGGTCTTTCAGGGTCACTCTGGCCACAGCGCCATCCTCCCAAGTGCCTTGTCCTTCCCAGCATGGCCTGATAGCATGTTTCACACGAACCTTTAGGTCATTGATACCATCCCGTGCCCACTGGAAGATGAGTGCACAGGAGGTGCTCAGTCACTTTAAAGCAAGCCAGTGATTACTTTTGAGCCTGGCACGCGCGGGAGTGCGTATAGGCGTGTGTGTGCACTTCTGCGTCCCTGCTGTGCGTGTCTATACATGTGCGTGTGTATGTATGCATGTGTGCATCTGCGTCCATGTATGTGCGCATGTCTCGGCCCGTCTGTGTGTGTGTGTGCGCATGTCCCTGCGTGCGTTTGCCTGAGTCCCTGCGTGCGTCTGTACGTGGGTATGTACGTGCGTGCGTCTGAGTCCGTGTCTGTACGTGTATGTATGTACGTGTGTGCGTCTGAGTGCGGGCATTGTACGTGTGCGTGCGTCTGAGTCCGTGCGTCTGTACGTGTGTATGTACGTGCGTGCGTCTGAGTCCGTGCGTCTGTACGTGTGTATGTACGTGCGTGCGTCTGAGTCCGTGCGTCTGTACGTGTGTATGTACGTGTGTGCGTCTGAGTGCGGGCATTGTACGTGTGCGTGCGTCTGAGTCCGTGCATCTGTACGTGTGTATGTATGTACGTGCGTGTGTCTGTGTCCGTGCATTGTACGTGCGTGCGTGCGTCTGAGTCCGTGCGTCTGTACGTGTGCGTGCGGCAGGCCCCGCGTGTGCGTGTCTGCGTCTGTGCGTGCGTGCGTCTGACTGCGTGTGTCCTAACGTTCTGTCACCTCCCCTGCTGCGCCGAGGGTCGCCGTCCTGCGTTCTCCAAGACAGTCGGCACGCGGTGATGCCCTCGCTTCGGCGTTGCTTGTCCGCGTTTTCTGTGGCGCCCGGTCTAATCCTGTAGCTGCTGCCCACGAGCGGTAAGGGGGCTGGGGCGCCCCGCAAGGGGCCTCGCCAGCCAGGGGGACCCGAGTTCAAACCCACGGCCGCCAGAATTAAATGTGCGCCTGAGTACAGGACGTGAGTGTAGGGCTGGTTCCAGCACGTCTCAGAACGACTTCAGGACGGGTGGGATCTGACAGGCCCTCTTCACTTGCACGGGTGCCTGAGGGTCCCAGTAGGAAGGTGTGTCCAGGAACCCACGACGTCTGGATTTCTTGCTGAATTCCGTACCTTCACCATCATCTTCCTTTTCACTTGATGAAAAAGCTGAAATCTTGTATTTCGCGCCTGTAATGGATGGGTCAGCTTGTTTTCTCTTCCTTCACAGGAGACGTGGCACATGCAATTTTACTGTCTTAACTTAGTTTCTTTGCAAAGTATTTCAGTCTATGAGTCTTTGTTTTCTTTCTTCCTTTTTCCTGTTTTGACACAGGGTTTCACTCGGTAGCCCAGGCTGGCCTGGAACTCATGGCTCTCCTGCCTCAGCCTCCCGAGTGCTGTGATTACAGGTGTGCACACTGCACTTGGTTCTTGGGTCTTTATGATTATTAAAATATATTTAATAATTAAATATTTAATACACAGTAACTATATTGTGTATTTAAAACTGTAAATGTTAAATTCATGAAGGTCAAGGGTCTTTGTTTTTTCTCGTAGTAGAGTGTACAAGCTTTAACATTAAATACGTCTAGGGCTAAAAATAAAAACACTGCTAAAACGTGTGAATTTTAGAAGTTCATGTCGCACCTCTTCAGCCGAGCATCTCTGAAGCAGCTTTGGGAGTTCCGCATTCCAGCAGTCTCCCCATGCTGAGTGACAGAAGCCCAGTCCCTGGCCTCGCCTTTCTCAGCCTTAGCATTCAGTGGTCCATGCTGCTTTTGTCTCATTTTCTGAGTCTTCATCTGGAATAGTTGTCAGCCTTTCTTTTCCTGGTTGGTATTTCTGACCAGTTACGTTGTAGATTGTCCTGTTCTCTGTGGTGAGGTTTAGGTTACAGGCTGAGCATCAGAAGCTTGTGTGTGTCTTGGAACATCTGGTCATGTTGTCCCTCCCCTGCTGATGGCGAGGGTGCAAAGTTCTCACCTTAACCTTTGCAATCAGTAGCTAATTTAACTATGAAATATCTACCTCTCTCCCAGGCTGCCCTTGAACTTGCCACCCACCTGCCTCAGCCTCCTGATGCTGGGATTACAGGCTTGCTACCACTGTGCCCAACTTTCTATATTCTTAGGTGCATTTCTGAGACTTATGTGCAGCATAGCATGTGTACCACGTGAAAAGGTCACGCTTTTCGAGTGTCTCATCTTTCCTGTTGCCTTGTTAGACCTGATGTCTTGCCCTCTGCTGTGTCTTCTGCACCGTTTTCAGCCTCTGTGAGAAAATTGTGCAGTGAATGCAAGGACGTGGTTGCAGACACATTCAGGAAGCCAGACAGCCATGCAGCACGCACACCTGAGGTGGCTTGGAATGAGTCGTCTGCCCTGCAGAAAACTGACTCACAGTGATGCTTCTGACTTGTGGCTTTGTCTATGAAGAGAGTCCTGCAGCACCTTTGGGGAAGAGTAACTTCGTGTCGCCCTTTCCTAGTATTGGCTTTATGACTTTGTTGTCTTAATTGTTGTTAGGATCTGTAAAGTTTTTTCAGTAGAAATGGCTTTTATTCCTCTGTGATAGAAACATGTTTTATCTTTAGGTCTCACATTCAGCATTGGAACAGAGCTATGAAGCACTGCAGTTTGATTTTGTTGGAGAACATTTTTTCGAAAGTGAAGTGGAACATAGCCAGAGGGAGCAGCACAGAGAGTTGCTGTCCACCTTGTAAAGTGACAGATCCAAAGTGTAGCGTAAATAGATTGCTGTCCTGGGGAGCCAGTATGTACCTGTAGGGTGTGTGCAAAAGCAGCAGGAGCCAGGCTCCTTGGGTCTGTCTGACTTCAAGCGGGGAATGGGATACTTGTTTTGGAAAACACAAACAGCAGGGCAGATTTTATACAGGTGAATTGGGGAAGCTGGACCAAAGACTTGGCCATTAGTCTAAATGACCCAGGTAGCTGTGATATTTAGGAAGTGCTGTCAAATTGGCAAGCTTTGCACTGTGAGGGAAAGCACACCAGGAGTAACACATACTTGGTTTCAGCTGTCTGTGCATCTGACTTAAGTTTTTATTTTTTTCATTTATATATATATATTTGGCAGTACTGGAGTTTGCACTTGGGCTTATGCTTGGCAGATGCTTTCCCACTTGAGCCACACCTCCAACCCTTTTTTACTTTAGTTATTTTTCAGACAGGGTCTTGTGCTTTTATTCAGGCTAGCCTTGGATGTCAATCCTCCTATCTACGCCTCCTGCATAGCTGAAATTCCAAGCTCATGACACCACAACTGGCCATGAATTAAGTTTTGTTTTTAAGGGAATAAGAATGTTTAGCTGTCTTAGATGTTTTGAGTTCAACAGAGTAGAGCATTTCAAACAGGCTAGTCTAAAATGAAAAATTAAAACTCACTTTGAGTTATTAAAGGAAGTCCGTAAATGGATTAGGAAACAGGACTTTATAGTAGACTACAGAATGTCACGTGTTGATTTGCAGGAGTTTACCCTGTAGGTAACTATGTGCTACTGTCACTATGTCTGTGGGGCAGGTAACAAGTGTGTCCTAGTGCTTACAAAGTCCTGAAGTCAGCTCACTGCCTTGTGAGGCTGGGCCAGCTCCTGCTGTGTGTGGGGAAGAGGTTTGGGTTTCTTCAAGAAGCTTTTCATCCTGCATGATGCCCTGTCACATGGCTGTCAGACCCCAAGGCTGGATTTCCATTTGGTCCGTGTCAGGTCTCTTGCCTGTAGACTCTCTGTATATTGTTGTGGTACAGCAGCTAGGTGTTTCTCATCTCATTAGTGAACTTGAGCGAAGCTGTGTAGATTCTCTCTGTTTTCTGATTGGTTATTCAGATGCTCTGTGAATCTGCTCACTTCTTATTTTACATTGAGGACTCTTGCTTGTGAAGGGAGTTGTCCTGTACACTGTGCTGGTCAGCGGGGATGTCCTCGAGGTGTCCAAATGACCCAGATGTCAGTGAAGGGAATGGGGTGCAGAGGAAGTCCCCAAGGCTAAGCCACCAAGTTGCTGGGGACATCCAGGGAGATTCCCAGTGGAATCTTGACTTGAAAGTCAAGTTTTGAAAGAAGAGGTTTCTCCTGGGAAGACAGAGTTGGGGTGGCTGGATATTGTTTAGGCCTGGGCATTTCCTGCAGCAGGACCTTGGTGGGTGGACTTGCAGATCTGCCAGGATTTACCTTCAGCTTGAGTGACAGTCATGGGAGAGAGGCTGTGGATGGTGGTGCACAGTGGGATGCTAGGGTTCTCTCTGGGGAAGATGGAGCTGTGGAAGAGTTCATTATTACTATTGTTACAACCCTCACCTTTGCTATAGCACGGGGGTGTGGACAGCACCATCTAAGCATGGCACGAGTCAGTCCCTCTCACTATTCATAAGAGTGCCTCATACCCGGTAGGTGTAGACAGTTGATGGATCTTGCCATGCGGGGGACTCACGGGCCTGGGTGTTGCTGCCTCCCCACTTAGGCCAGGCCTCT